GTCTAAAATTGTTTTCTAATTTAAAATCTAATTTCATCGAAGTAGGGTTTTTGAAAATACAAAAATTACTGCAAAAAGTTTACCATAAAGATTCAAAGGCAAAGCGTTGTCTTTTATCTTTTTTATCTTTAAAGTTTACGGTTTTCTTACCAACGTTGACATAAAATGCTCTCAACATTGATCATTTCATAATCTATTTAAATTTAAAAATTATAAACAGCACCACTAAACAACCAATTCAAATAATGGTTTTAATTTTTTAATAAAATTCATATTGTATTTTTATAATCCACAACAAAATTATTTACAAGAAGTTTACTTGTTTCAAACACTAACATCCGATACACAAATCTGATAGGTTTATTCCAAAATGGTGGACGTTTGTTGTGCTTTCCAGTGATCTGTTTTAATTTTCTCATTCATGTGAGTACATTAATTTTTGTAACAAAAATTAGAGAATGCTTTGAAAAACTACATAATTAAAAATGCACTCAGTCCATGGTTTTGTTTTTCTTAAAAAGTGACGTTTCGTTTCTTCGCTAATTACAAAGAAATAGTGGCTAGCATCCTGGCCTGGATACAAATTCATAAAATAATGCATTAAACAATTAATTATTATCGTTTCTTGTATCTATCAGGATTGATACTAAGTATTTGGCTATATTATAAAGTTTTAAAAAGGTAAGGAGAATAATAATGCAGAAAACAAATAAGCGCGGGATTATGTGGCTGTATGTCCGTAAAGCGTCATTTGTATTAATTATAATAGTTCATTGTAATAAATTAATTTGTTTTTCTAATAATTATAACAAGTGTAGTACTTGAGATTATTCGTTATCGTTAATGAAAAGATTCAATAACATCCAACGTTTATAATCGCAGAGCAATTATAACCTAAAATGTTCGCCGGTGTTGGAATTGTATTTGGACGTAATTCAGTTTGTGAATTAATATTTGTTTATATTTCAGATATATGTAGAACTTTGAAGCCATTATTCCAATAAGATTGGAAACATGGATAGTGATGAAAAAATTCCTACATTATCCGAATGTGGTATAAAAGAGGATGGAGATGGTAAAAGTAATGTTGACGAAGATTCAAAAGACCCGGAAACTGCTTCGGACGAAATAACTAGTGAAAATGTTAAAAGTGAATTAACAGAATTACAAAGTGATGTAAATAGTGTTAGTGATCTAGGGACTGCAAACGAAGCATCAAATCATGTGGACCATATAGCCAGTGATGAAGAAGGTTGTGTAGAAGAAAGGCAATCTAGTGAGAAAGACAATATAGTGCCGTTAGATAATAAAGAAAGTAGTGCTGTGGAGCAAGGTATATCCATTTTAGTTATTTTTATTATAATAATATTTGTATATTTAGAGTGGGAATATGTTATGGAATAATCAAAACTTAAGATTAACCTGATGATTATTTTAATTACTTTGTGTGTGAGAGAGTACAATTATAGTTCTAGAGTTGTCTAGACCTAAACAATCTGGATTTCAATTGTTATTATGGTTATTGATTAATAGGTATGGCCATTAATGTACTGTAATACAAGTGTACATAAAATAAATATAGCTCAAAATGATCCACATTGCAAAATCTTTATGTTGTGTGTGGCTCATTTTGGATATTTATATTGGCAAAGTAGGCAATTATAGGGCATTATTACTAATAGTACTAATACTACATAACACATATTTAAAAGTTGGTATTGTTTGCAGCAAAGATCTGAATAGTAGACAAATATAATGCTCTAAAATACAAATGTTTAACTGACAAAAAATATATTTTCAGAAAATAAAGAAGAATCTAAAGAAGTAGATAATAGATTAAGTGATGTAAATACTTTCGAAGAAAGTAATGACACAGAAAGACCTGAAAATGTCCAAGAAACACCACCAGAATGTCTATCACAAGAAGATAGTACGGATTTACAAAGACAAGAAACAGAAAAAGAAGAAGAGAAAACAAATATAGAAGAAGAAATTACTGATATAAAAGAAGAAAGCGCAGCTTTGCAAGAAGAGAGTGCAGATATACAAGATAAAAGATCAGATTCACAAGAGGAAAGAACAGATACACAAGAAAGCACAGATACACAACAAGAAAGTGCAGAGATACAACAGGAAAAAACAGATATCAATGAGACAAGTGAAAAGACAGAAAATGAGGATAAAGATGAAAAAAAAGATGAGGTTGGAAAACCAGAATTTGAGACTGCCCCCAATATATCAATTGATGAACCCCAAGATGATCATACTCAGGTACTGTAAGTTGATTTCTCAAATGAAAATTTAGATGATACAATTTCATAACTGTGGGTTACCACAGCAATATTATTATTTCTCTCATTCTCTTTGAGAAAAAAGATACAACAAAATGCGACAGGTATTATATGGCAGTTGGGTTAGATAAATATTACAAATATTTTGTTTAAAAACTTAATCTGACTTGTCATTATCAATCAGGTAGCATCCTGTTTCATATTTTAATAATATTTAAATGTTTTATTTATCAGGCACTTGATCCGTTTGATGCATTGTTAAGGGAACAAAATGATTCAGTGACAGAAACTGCTGAAACGGCAACACAAGCAACTGTCAATGTATTAGATGAGGAAGATGATCATGATGATTATAATGTTGACAATCCAGTGGATGATGATGATGAACATAATGCAGGTACATTGTTACTTAAAATTAAATCATATAATTGCTTTAGTTACATAATTAAAACTAGTGTAACATTGATTGACATGTCATTGTTGCAATTTATTAAATATATGAAGATTTTTGTTAATTTACAAACATTTCTTGTACTACTCCAACTAAGCTCTATGCTTGTGCCAACTAAGCTCTATGTTTGTGCTAGGACATGGTTTACGACAATAGTCGAAAGGCGGGATTCAAATCCCCGATCTGTGATCGTAAATCCGTACCGTTAACCATTAGGCTATTGAAACAACAAATTGTAAAATTGTATAACTACACTGTGTGTATTTTTTTTAGAAGATGTTTCGTTAGAAGATAATGTGGCGGAACTTGGAGAAGAACCCGGTGCAGATGAAGAGGTGTGCTTGCTCCCCGACACAGAGCGGGAGATTTCTGAAGCTGATAAAGCAGAGGCGGAGAAGGTGCTTGCTGAAAAAAGAAAGCAGGCTGAGGGTACAAGATTATTACTATTATTTTAGTAACTTAAATAGAATGTAGAGATATTGTCTCCTTAATTACCAATTAAGTATTTTGAGTGTGGTGGTATGTTAGTAGCAAAATATGTATTTGAGAAACTTCAAATAATCTTACACATGAGAATTGTTTTTATTTTATGTTATTCTGTAGTGTATTTAACTGTTGAAAGTAGTACTTTGTACTACTTTCAACATACAATACAAAACATAAGCTAAATACAATACAAAACATAAGCTAAATGTTAATAGTAGTAATGTGTTTACGGGACTACACTTAAAGTGATTTGAAAGAATATTCAATTATCCTTTCCAAAATAGCAGCTGCATCGGAATTGGCAGAAGAGAGTGAACCTAAAAAGGAGAATGAAGCAGAAGTAGAGAAAGAAAATGATAATGCAGAAGAAGCCACAAACAGTGAGCCGGGGGATGCACCATTCGAAGTGGAAGACGAACAGGATGACGCCTCCCAGGAAAACGGAGGTAAGTTACGTTTTACACATTTTTTCATTTACTTTTTTGTATTAATGAATTGTACATCTTCTCTTATCTATGTATTTAATTTAGTTACTTATTGTAAAGCTCAATACATCACTTAATTTTCCAGATAAGGAATATGGAAATGAAGATTCAGTCGATACTGGCAGTTATTTTCTGAATACTATTCAAGAAATTGAACCTTCAACAAGAACCTGTATTCAGTGTAAAATAGAAAAAGACTGCATCTACCATTTACCAAACAATAATGAAAGCGAAGAGTATATTTGTAGTGAAGAATGTTTAAAATCGTTCCTATCAGAAAGTCCAACACAAGCTTCTGTTGCCGACTCGAACTATGTTGTTGAAGAAATTAATCCAGAGTTACTTACTTGTTCGGAATGTGAAGAAAATAAAGAATGTTACTTTTATTATAAATTAGATGGAGAAGACACAAAT